TATCTCTGTCTTTTTCTCTCATTTACGTATGTACATCGAGCAATAATTCTTATTATCAAATCAAATCCATTTCGAAGTTATCGTATATCATAAAAATATGTCGTGTGACTTTTCAAATTTCAAAGGATTTTCTTAAAAAAAAATGCAATTTTTTTTTTCTTTTGTTTAAGAATACGTCGAAAAAAATAAACTAATTATTATGTTTGAATAATATGTTCAAGTTGCCGATTAAGTAATTCAATATCATTAATTTTTTTTTTTTTTTTTTTTTTTTTTTTTTTTTTTTTTTATGGAGACTATATGATAAGGATAGAAATGGGATTAGATAAATGAATTAATATATTCGAGTATTCCAATATGCATAGATTTTTAATAATAATAATTAAAAAAAAAAAAAAACAGTCTTATAAAGTAATACAGTATGTATTATTAAGGCAACTCGATGTACATGTAAATATATATATATATATATATACATATATAATATATATATATTTAATATATATATTTAATATATATAGTATATATATAATAATATATATATATATATTTACACAATCATAATAAATTCAACAAGATAATTGTTATTTCGAACAAATATCTTTAGAAGTTATAAAGCATCGATTTTCCGCGTGCAATCCTAATCGTTTAGCACGCGCGTAATACATTTACAAAGAAAAATTTCTTACTATTGGTCTATGTCTTTAGTGATTGAAAAATTTTTATTGTGTCGAATTATTTCGATTAATCTAGCGTGCCATTTTTATGTATAGAATTTTCGTAAAAGAAAAGAAAAAAAAATTAGCGAATTTATATAGATTTATTTATTTTTTTTATTACAATAAACTTGAAAATATTCGATAGATCTCAAATGACCAACGTTAAAAATATATTTCATTATATGTATGTTCGTATATTTCCTTTTCTCTTTGTTTTTTTTTTTTTATTTCGAACACGTGGTCAGGTTCGTCGATTATTTTATTACTTTTTATTTTTTTTATTTTTTTCATTTTTTTTTTTTTTATTTTTTTTTTGAATATTTTCGAGTTATTGAGATATATATGTATATGTGTGTGTGTATGTATATATATAATTTATATAAATATTAAAGGATAGAAGTATTTATGTTTTTTCCATTATGTATTATATATGCTTAATTGCATAACATTACTTAAAACTTTATTATATTATAAATATGGGAACATTAAATAGCATAAAAAAATGAGGTATAAACAGTTAAGGCAGCTTTGGTTTGTACTTATTGACAGAATATCGAGTATAGTTATGAACCACTGACGTTTTTAGTGTGTTCGGTTAAAACGAGAAAGCATATGTTGTATGTGTGTGCGCCTAAATGTATATATATATATATATATATATATATATATATATATATGTATATATATATATATATACATATATATATATATATGTATATATATATATGTATATATATATATATATATATATATGTATATATATATATATATATATATATATATTTATATACACATATATAAAAATATTATCTCTCGACGAAGAAATGAGTATTTTGTACGATTCGACATAGCATGAAAATATTCGATATGAGATCTGCGCAGTCTCTATGGACATCATGTAAAATCAATTTTCAGGATAAAACGGAAGTGTCAAAGTAATTGTAGCTATAAATATAAGAATTATATAAAGAATTCATTTGCGTAATTGCATCGATTGATTAGTATCTATGTTAATGAAATATATATATATATATATATATATATATATATATATATATATATATATATATATATATATATAATAGTCATCGGTATTGCATAATGTACATTGTATGATTGTGTCAGTCTATTTCCATATTTCCAAAGTTTTAATATAACATTATAAATTTGACGTTTAATTAAACCATATCAATATATTTTACTTTTATATTTTTTTCTTTTTGTTTCTCAAAACACTGAAAATTAAGAAATGTCTCTTATTCTATTATTTTTTTATTATTATTATTATTATCATTATTAATATTATTACCATTACTATTATTATTATTATTATTATTATTATTATTATTATTTTTATTTTTATTATTTTTATTTTTATTTTTATTTTTATTTTTATTTTTATAACTATAATTACCATTATTATTCGCCGAACAATTTCAATGTTTCTTTTCTTCTTATTTTTTTTTTCTTTCTTTACTATTATATACACATATTTTTATGAATTTATTTTTTTACTTAAGGAAATCCAGTGTGGCTAATTAATTATAACGTGCATACAAATGTATCATCTTAAATAGTCACTTTTGTCACGACATAAAAGTAATGAAACACACAATTATTTAGCAATGATTTGAAAGTGCGAAATGTAGACATGCCAATTGAATAAAAACGATTACGATTACAATTTGTTTCGAACATATTCCTAAATATAAATTTTTTTTCTTTTTTTCTTGTTTTCATAATAGTACATGATGCATTATAAAATCCAGACATTAGACCACTTAATTAAAGGCAAAGCACAAAGCTCTCTTAATCGTATTATATGTAAGATTGCTATCATCAAAACCCGTATCTCTATTAAATATAACATAATATATAATATAAAATAATATGTATATATATATATATATACATATATATACATATATATATATACATGTATATACATATGTATATACATATATATACATATATATATACATACTATATTTCTAATTAATATAATAAAATTTTTGTATTCTTGTTATGATTTGGCGTATATGACGCATATATGCATATATTATGAATGCTTTGCAAATAAGTTTTATCAAGATGATAACATGGATAATCGGCATTTCAGTCTTTCAGTAATCGAACATTATTATTGTTCATTATATCATGAGGTAGATAGTTCTGCTAATGTTATAACATAGATATGTATTGAACAATATTGCAGCTGTATCCCAGGGCCATGATCAGTAACAATAGCAAAATACCTTATACTAACTAACAAAATTAACAGTTCTATGTCAGTCGTTAACGAAATTAACTCAAAGTCTACTAATCATATATATATATATATACAAATATATATATACATACATACATATATATATGTGTGTGTGTATGTATGTATATATACATATATATATATATATATATACAGGATGTGTATCGTGAAACACAATAATTATACAATAAATTCTTTAATTTTTAGATCGAAAGAAACTGTTTGATGATCGTAGCATGGATTAATAATTTATGGCAATATTTTCTTTTCTTTTCTTTTCTTCTTCTTCTACTTCTCCTTTTTCTTCATTATTATACGAAGACAAAGTTGAAATGATTTTTTCAGCAGAGTGACTAGAACGATGGAAAAAAAAATGTAAAAAAAGAAAAATATTGACTCCTAACTTCTCGATCGTTGATAAAGAACTTATAATTAATTATCGTGTTATTAGACGCAACCTTTATATATGTATATATATAAACAAATAAATATATATATATTTATATTTATATTTATATATATATATATATATATATATATATACTTATATATGTGCTATACTTATAAGAGCCTTTCACTCTACGTAAAAATATATATCTATGATAAAAAAAAAAAAAAAGTAAATAAGAAAACGATGAAAAATAATATATAATTTCTTATCCAAAAATTTATGAATATCTTGTTTTACTCTTATACCGTACGTTTCTCTCTCTTATTAGAATAGCATTTATTCATTATTTAACGATTGCAAATTAAAATTGAATCACAATATTAAAAATATATAATATATATATAATATATATATAATTTGAATACTCATTTATTTTTTAAAAACAATCACTGGCCCAAAAGCTTCTAAAGCTTATATAACTCAATAAAACTTTTACCCCGTTAAATGTTAAAAACGTTCGGCGATATTAAATATTTCTGTCCTATGCCCCTGCGCTTTTTCTTATATTCATACTCTTATTATTAATATTATCATCGTCCCATTCAATAGTGGCTCGTGGTTATACTTGATTATATTAACTTTCATATCGCGACAATAGAGAGAAAAAAAGAAGAAAGAAAGAAAGAGAGAGAGAGAGAAAGAGAAAGAGAGGAAGAGAGAGAGAAAGAAAGAGAGAGAGAGAGAGAGAGAGAGAGAGAGAAAGAGAGAGAGAGAGAGAGAGAACTCGTTGTATATTTACTAATATAATTCTAAAATTTCTATGTTGCATTTTCTTGTACTTTATTCATTGAAAAAAAAAACGAAGAAAAAAAAAGAAAGAAAGAAAATAAAAAGAAAACGTTAATAAAAAATGCAATATGCTAATTCTTCCGAATCTTTCTTCCCAGTATATCCAATGGGACGGTTTCTTTTCTTTTTTTAAATCTCTTACTTTTCTATTTTGCTTTTGTTTCTTCTTTTTCTTTTCTTTCCTTCTGTTCCCTTACTTCTTCTTTTTTTTTCTTCTTTCTCGTTTATACAATAAGTAAGGGAAAAAAAAGAAATATATATCAAAGATACTATACATAGTTATCATTCTTTGATGAGGTAGATTATGTTTAAGAAATCTCAAGAGCATTAATAAGCCTTTAACAATTTTTGAACACATGTGTTAAATACACGTTCAGTCTCTTGGATCAGCGACGCGCATTCAGTCTTATTGTAGATTAACGAGTTAGCCTCGTTAAGTCTCGAGTCTTAATTATATATAAACGACATTCGCGGAATTTTAATTATTATAAGCAAATGTCTTTTCTAAGGCATTTACGCAAAATTGAGGAAACGAAAGCGTCGTTTATCATAATCCTACGAGAAGAGCTTAAGCTAATTGTTCCCTGAGAAATTAATGAGATAATCGATGTGCTGAAAGTAAACATAATTAATCAATATTTAGATACCATTCGTTAAAAGACTCGTTTAACAATGAGATCGTCAAAGATACGAGGAATATAATTTTGAGTCTTTTTGATAACGTGTTCGGCACTAAATATTTACTATACCCTTTATTACGACGATACTTTTATAATTTTTTTCTTTTACTCTTTCTTTTTTCTCTGTTTTTTTTCTTTTTCTTTTTTTTTTATCTTCCTTTCAACACATTCGAAAAAATCCGTCGTAGAATAACATACGTAAGGCCACTAATATTATATTAGCTTTTCAACAAAGAAAATATTTTAACATTGTTTTTCTTGGAAATATTGTTGAATATTTTACGTTATGTAAGAACGCAATGTAAGAAGGTCCATACTTTTGAGTCTCGAAGCTGATCAGGAGACATCTGGTTAGATTTGAAAGTATTCATTTTAACTTACTCGTATACTACTTCTATCGATATCTACTATTGAGGTTTTTTTTTTAGAGTATATCACCCTACGTGTGTAAATTCAACATCGTCGTATCTTTTTAATTTCATGATAATTATCAATTACGATTAGAATTATCGGAAATATCATCTTCCTCTTTGATGTTCGACGATGGTGGTATTATTACTCGTATATCCGACTTACGATTTACCGAAAGATCCTCAACCTGATCGTCGTTCCTTTGTTGAGGTTCTTCTTTGATCAAATGAAGTCCTGAAGTTGGACTAGATTGACCAGTTTCCATGTTGGATTCACGTTCAGTCGAAGTATCCCTGCTCTTAACGTAATTCGTTTCCAAAATGGTGGAAGAACTCTCGTATAGGGCGTTGCTGTTTTCATTTTCACTTTCCGATAGGGTACTACTGTTGATACCATAAATGCTGCCGTTTGCGTTTCCACCGATACCATAGGGAAAACAAGCTCCTCCAGCACCGTTCGAACCACGCTTAAAAGGTCGGGAGGTCGTGATACCAAGTTTTTTTACTTTATCGTAAAGTGTACGCGATGGGACACCGTACTTTCTCGCCGCTTGCAATGCACTCATTCCTGATCTTACTGCCTCGATTGCTGACATGATGTCGTGCCGTGTATATTGTTTATAACGTTTCCATTCGGGCTTTTGGGTTGTGATATAACTAACCACACCTACAATTGGATTAGATACGTCAGTACCTAAAGGAAGTACCAATGCGATAAGATTTCTTTTAGGACTTTTAGTAAATATTTCTCATCAAATATTATTTTCATTTTATTATTATTATTTAATTTTTTTAATAATTTAATCAAATTATTTCATACCTGCGTTAGTATCGACGTAGGGTTGAGGTGATGGTTGTTTGTCTTCTTCGTCTATCATGGAGACGTCGGTGTAAGGACTATGAACTGGTTCAGAATTGGGAAGATCGCTGCTATCTCGTCTGGAATTTTCAGTTGACGATCCATTGGCATTAGTACGGAAGTTATTATCATGACTATCTGGTGGCATAAGGGTCATGTTCTGTGAACTATCAGCATGCCCTTGACCCAAAACTGTTCGCAATATCGGCGTGTCTCGATTCATCATGACATTTGACGTACAATATTTTTTTCGTTTTGGATTTATGGGCGATGACGTTTCGAAACCGTTGTCGTAAGAAGTACCCACGATAGTGGAATGTTGCGAATGTGATTGAGAGCTTGCCTGATGACTGGAAGTTGCATGTTGTGGAAGTGGAAGTCCTGACAATGCCCACATCGGCAAGGACATACATCCTCTATCAATTGGCATCGTAGATGATTTACCTGTTGATCAAAGATCTAAATTCTATCTAAATTTATATGCTACGTATTTATATGTTAATGAAAAAAAAAAGAAAGAATAATAATTTCATATATATTTATAAAAAAATTTATATGTATAAGCTATGGAATTTCAATAAAATATGTTAATTCGTATTAACGATCACATTAATTCAATTCATTGGACATGCAAATATTATTATAAAATATTTCCAAATACGAAAAATTGAATCAAATCAAATCAAATCAAATCAAATCAAATCAAATCAAATCAAATGATATGCAGCACGTGTCTCATATTATATTCTCTTTTTTTTTTTTTTTCCTTTAAATTATAATTTCATCTTGAAATTCTTGAGTGGATAAACTCGTGACCTTTCCATATTTAGTTTTCCGCTTACATTCGAAGACATTTCTTACCGTATGGATTATAAGAACTTCCGGTTGAATGGGGTGGTGAAATATGGCCACTGCTATGCGCAATACTGTTGGTTGTGCTAGTGCTGATCGCTGGTGGTGGTGACATCGACGTTTCGAGTTCTTCGTTTCGTTGTTCATGAGATGAACCATTTTCCTCAACAAGACCCTTGACTTTTAAAACTTCAGCAACTTTTAATAAACCAGCGAGTTGTTCCTGGGCGACATTTACCTCTCCACGATACATGTATTCTAATATTGCCTTGATCTCACAATATTTCACATCTTTGAGTACTACGATCGGATGTTTACATGGTAGATCGATAAAAAGCGTCTGGAAATATGATGAACAAGCTGCTAGGACCATTTTGTGACACTTTACAGAGAGACCACCGTCCACAGCCAAGGTAACATCGGTGAATGCCTCATTTTGTAGAAGTTCATCAAAGACAGTAAGCAAGTTCGATCGGTGGTTGTTCCAACGGAGACAATATTGTTGCGATGCGCTCGCCATTCTAATTTTGTATATGCACCGATCAAACGAGCGAGTCTTCTTACCAGTTGAACACGATCTTTCTATTATCAAAATTCAAAATAATAATGATCCGTGCGTGATCTTATATATATGTTACGTCAAATATAAGAGAGATATTATTAATAAATTTTATTAATAAATGTAAACACATGTATATAAAAATATAAACAGAGAGAGAGAGAGAGAGAGAGAGATTGAGAAAGAGAGAGAAAAAAATTTAGCGACAGTTTTCTAACAAAGCATACGTTTGAAAAAAGATAAAAGAAAATAGCGTTCCTTTGATTGTTTTTTATCGATGAATCCTGACGAATACGATAATGGCTATGGTCAAGCAGTTGCGTCACTCGCCAAAGACATTTTCGGTACCTAAGCGTGTATAATGGACGGACGAGAGATAACCGTGTCCGCTTTGTTTGCACAATAAGACGAATAGACAAAGAAAGAGACTTTATTAGTTTTACCATTCGAAATAAGAAAATAGTAACGAGATAGAAACACGACACCCACGAACTTTCTTTCTTTCGGCGTGCAAACAAATCCTTGATCTCTTGTAAAATAAACAAATATTTGAATAAACCGCGTTTACGACGACAACCAACTACGACGACGATGATGACGACGACGACGACGAACGAGTTGAGCCGAAGTAAAAATAGAATCAAAGATCGTACGACCTTTTGAATTCGCGCTGTTCGAATAATAAATATTATAATAACGTACATATATTTAAAGGGCAAAACTATCACTAACTGAAACAATAGGTTAAATAAAATGCTAATTCGATTAACACTTGAAAATTGTCACGAAAAATATCTCACTGTCACTCTATATAAATGCCAATGTATACATATATACATATATGTATATCATACATTTTTTTTTCTTTTTTTCCGGTTCTCGCTCTCCTACAACCTCTTCTCCCCTCCTCTCTCTTTCTCTCTTACGTTACGTATGCTTTCTTCTACACGGTAAACATACACAGCATATATATATATATATCTATATATATATATTTATATATATATATTTATATATATATATATATACACATACACGTAACATTCCTTCTTTACGTATAACAATACGTACCATCCAGCCAAACAAGATTCTCTAAGTGAAAGAAAAAAAAAAGAAAATTCTCTTCGTAAAGAACGAATGAACGTCGAACGAAAATATTATATGTATGTGTGTGTGCGTGTGTGTTTATGTATATGTATTTTGAAATACGACGGACGACGACACACGACACACGACGACGACGACGACGACGACGACACGACACGACGATGACGACGACGACCACGACCACGACGACGACGACGACGACGACGGACGACGACGCGTTCGTAGCGTCGGTAAATTTCACATTACGATAATCGCTTTCATTGTAAGTTTTTCCCGGTTTCGATCGAGAGCGCGAATAAAAGTAACCACGTTGATATGCCACATTTAGAGAGACTGAACCCACGATGAAGAGCTAACACAGCTCCGGCTTACGTAGGATGCGTTCTGGGGGATGGAAAGCAGTTTAGCTTTCTCTCTTTCTACCATTATATACATATCTCCTATCTCTTTTACTCTCTTTCATATGGGCAGGGCTAGCCCGTGTCCCTTCCTCCTTTCGTTCTATCTCTATCTATCGCTATCTTTCTTGCACTCTCGTTCTTTCCCCCTCCCCCTCTTAACCCCTGCCCCCACTACTTGGCCAATACACCGACCCTCTACCTCGCCCTAGTCATTCGTTTGACGACACGTAGTACTACTACACTATTACTATTACTACTACTATTACCATACTACACTACTACTACTATTACCACACTACTATTATTATTACTACTACTAGTAAGAAACACGAGCATGCGCACGAGCACGTACACACGTAAACAAACTCCGTGTGTATCGTCGTAACAATCTTCGTGTCGTCGTTGTCGTCGTCATCGTCGGTCGTCATTGTCGTCATCGTCGTCATCGTCGTCCTCGTCGTCATCGTCGTTGTCGTTGTCGTCGTCGTAAGAGTCGCCGCTGCTGCTGGTATGCATTTTTTTCCATGAGCATTTTCTTCCCAGTTCGGCCACCCTTCGTGCCACACCTCCCTCCCCCACTCTTTTCCTCGGTTTCCCTCCCTCCATCCCTCCCATCCCCCTCTCTCTCCCTCTCTCTATCACTGTTTCTGTCTATCTTAACTGCAACGTTCTCGACGATGACGTGTAACATACGCAATGCGAGTCACCCTCTCATAGCCCCACTACCACCCCCTAACAGCGCGACTTATGAACGCAGATAGAAATAGAGATAGATAGATGGATTGGGAGATAGGGTGATGGTAACTAAGTGTGGGGGTATGTACATATATACATATATATATATATTTTTTTTTATATATATGAAGAGAAAAGAGGGAGAGATACCTTTTATTGTATCAAATTTTAGACGAAATTAATGACGACAAGCTAAATTAAATGTAAAGTTAATGGAATAATAGAAGGATAAGAATTGTTATAAATATATTACTTTTGCCATCTTTCTTTTCCTTTTCCTTTTATTAATATAAGATCAATCAAATTTAATATGTAATAAATATAAGTGATTTGAAATTCGATGTAACTTAAGTTGATAAAAGTATTGATACTAGTAACAATACTTTATGGCAATATCATTATAAATAGATATTCATGGATAATTTTATATAGTAGTTATAATATATGTTACAAAAGAGACAGAGAGTGAGAGACCGAGAGAGAGAGAGAGAGACTTCATCGGAGAGGGAGATTTTCTTGGATCTTAAATGTAAAATGAAAGAAATAGACAAATGATGCACCGGGCTATCTAAAAAAACAACAAGAAATAAACGAATACGAGAACGAACTAGCTATGAGCCCCGTTAGTTCGCTAGCTGCTAGACTTCTTTCTCCCCTTCTTAATGTGTCTCCTATCCTTCTTTTCCTCCTCCTCCTCCTCCACCACTACCACCTTCTTCAACATTACCACCTCTTCCTCCTCCTCCTCCTCCTCCTCCTCCTTTTCCTCCTTCTTTGCCACTACCACATCACTTTTTTCGCCTTCTTCTCTCTCTTTCTCTGTTACCGCCTCCCTACTTCTTCCAGCTTTCTTCTCTCTCTCTCTCTCTCTCTCTCATTTTCTTTCTCTCTCATGTATCAGGCCCTTTCTCCTTTCTTCCTCCTCCCGGTTATAGGGTTGCTAGTGACCGTTTCGTAGCAACATTGGCGTAACTGTATAGATTGAAAACTTTTGGACTTTGAACCCCCGTATACCTTCTTTCGTTTAAATCTGTATTAAAGTTCATGGATAAAATCTATATATATATATATATATTTATAATAGCTTATACTTATTATTATCCCTTCATATATTTCGATCCTTTCATATTGCGATTATTATTAATAAATGATGTATGATACGGTATTTGGTTTGGTACGATAAATAAAAAAAAAGGAAAAAAAAAGAAAAAAAGAAGAAGAGAAGAAAAATAGTATAAGATAATCTCTCATATATTCGTATTATTAATTTTTCCATAAAATTCTTTATAGATAAATCTCTAAGTTCGGCGTATTAAAAAGAAAAAAAAAAAGAAAGAGACTTGATATGTTACGCCATTGAATAGAAGCTTGGCACGGCACAGCAAAGTACCACACCATCACTACACTATTACTACTACTACTACACTACTATACTACCCACAGTTTCTACGATCAGCCAATCCCGCGACTCTAAAAGCATATTATATCCTAGGGGTATGGCAACGTGCGTGCTCATCCGTCGTTTGACATGTGTGCGTATACGCAATCATCGTGCTTCGCATATCTATCTATATATATATATAGATATATATATAAATGTATATATATATATATACATGTGTGTTTTCATGTGAATACATATATTCGTGCATTCGTAGAGAGACGGATGGCAAGCGTATTGTAGACTTACACCTACGTCATTTTTCCTATGCACGGTGTGTATAATAGTCACGATGGTATAACATGTGGGAAGGCCATGGCGTTATGGCTGGAAAAGGAAGAGAGTGAAAAAAAACTTAGCCAATATATACATTCCCTTTGCTTTTCGTTTTCCCCTTTCCGAAACTATATATGTATGTATATATATATATAGTATGTATAAAAGAAAAAAAGAAAAGAATATGATTATATATAAAAATATTTTAATACTTAAAAAAAAAAAAAGGCAAAAAAAAAAGAGAGAGAAGAGAGAAAGAGAGAATGATGATTCAAAGGGTATTAAAAAAAATTCCTTGAACTTTTTGTTATATAATCTAAACTGTTATTTTTTCAATGTGTTCAAATTTATGAGATGATGTGTGTCCTGTTCAATAAGTTCATCTTTCTCTTTCTCTCTCTCTCTCTCTCTCTCTCTCTCTCTTTCTCTCTCAATCTATCTTTTGATTTCATTCTTTTTTCTTTTTTTTTTTTCCTTTAGCAAGTTATATCGACGAAGGCATTCGCTATGGGTTTTTCGAGTGCATCATGGCTCTTCTAACACGATTTCTAGCTACGCCTTGCTCCCCGGCTCCCGTGGTCCTGATGGGACTATCCACGTTCGTATGCGTATCTCGTACGTGCGTCCTTTGCCATCCGGAGTTGGGTTTTCTTGTCGCTCTCGAGTATCGTGAGAAAACAGTGTTCCTTTAGGATAGGCTGATATATATATATATATATATATATATATATATATATCCTTTAAATTATTCACATATCATTTTTATTCCTTTTCTTTTGTTTATATTCTATATTTATCTTTTCATATCAATTTTGTTTTGTTTCGTTTTGTTTTGTTTCTGTTCTGTTCTGTTCTGTTTTGTTTCATATACATTTAAAAATCTCGTAAATATGTTATTTTTCATGCATCCGAAAGAGAAATAGTTGATATGATTTTAAACGTTTTGTTTGATTAGTTTTGCACTTAAAAGTTTCCTAAGATTTCGTGTGTCTTCCTTATCTTGCATAGTTCTGGAAATCGTAAAAGGAACGATGATAAAGCAATATAAATATCAGCCGTATGGGAAATTTCTTAGCCATTGCTGTCGTATACAATTTCACGCGCTTGTTTAAATATTTCTATTTTTCTAAATATGACAACTTCCTTTTTCATGACTATCTCTATCTGTCTATTCATCTATGTATTTATCTATCTATTTATCTCTCTTTCTCTTTTCGATATTAATCCCTGATTAATATCGAAAATTATAATTTATTATCTAAGTAATCTTATAGTTTCTATCCGAATAATATTATTTTTTCCTTTTAATTAATGTAATCATTATTTGTTAATAATATTTTTATAGAGTCAAAAGTCTTTCATTTATAATATTGAAAAATGTTGAGAAGCTTTACATGATAAGGTCAACGACTACTTTTCTAACGTTCGCTATCTATCGCAAGCAAGCAATGATAGAGGGTGGGGGTATTGAATGTTTGTTTAAAGGGGGCATCGATAACGTGTTTTTCACGATTGCATATATATATATATATATGTGTGTGTGTGTGTGTGTGTGTGTGTGTGTGTGTGTGTGTGTGTGGTGGGCATATATATATATATCTTTTTACAGTAAAAAAATCTTGCCAACTCGAAAAATTCTATATATGTATATATACCTATTTATGACAATATATATTGTTTTTCTTTCTGAAAGAATTACTGTATACTCTATACAATTACTTTAAGAGAAATTTTTAGATCTTGAAAATATCTCTATTTTTGTCAAAAGAAAAAAGAAAAAAGATTTAGCATAATAAAGATAATTGTACGATTATATATATAAACATTAAAAGAGCATTTAACGATTCTTATCGTTTCTTTTTTCTTTTTATGTTGTAAATCAATAGTAAACTTTTACTGTAGATCTTATGAGTAATATTCCCCAATTAACTTGCGATTTTCGGATAATTACTTGCGATAACTAAACAAACATGGTACGAGATTGTTAGTTCGACCTTTGAAACATCTAAACTTTTACACATTACGAAAAATGAATGTGTTTGTCATCAATTTACAAAAAATTATATATATATATATATATATGTATATGTGTTTATATTCTAAATTATATAAATAAATTGTTTAATCATATTTTAAAATATAGATTTAAAATTGATGATACATATCGGATAAAATAATTATGCAAATAGAAAACTACCTGAGATGATTCTTTAACTTTAGTTCTATATATATATATATATATATATATATATATATATATATATATACATATAAAACTATATATATATAAAACTATATATATATAAAACTATATATATATATAAAACTATATATATATAAAACTATATATATATATAAAACTATATATATATATATATATATATATACTTATTTATTAATTTAAATACATATCTACGAAAAAAAAATGTTTAAAGAAAGTTCATTATAGTTTTATTAGATTTATTTGTTTACAATGATTCATGTTATAAATTATATAAAATATTTTGCTTAGTCATCTTTCCAAACATAAATTTAAGATTTATGATGGAATAAAGAATAATGGAAAAGGTAACAAGTTGGGATAATTCTTTAACTTTAGTTATAAGAGAGAAAAGAGAGAAAAGAAAAATGTTTAGGAAAAGTTCGTTGCAGTTTTATTAGGTTGTAAAAGCAGGA